GGGGGGTATCGATACTTTAGAAAATGAGTATCGTATCCGGATACAACATTTTAGTATCAATACTTTTTTGAGTATCAATACGTTTGACAACCCTAACCCGGCAGCCACCGACTCTGGTTCAGTTACAGCGTCCCACTCTTTGATTTTATCGGTGTAAGAAATGTGTTTTTATCAGAGAAAACGAACCCGTCCAGCAGTTGTTTGTTCCCACTAAAGGAGGCTCCACAGATTCTCCATCAGTCCGACATCAGAGTGGACTGAGGACTTAGGTTTCCTCTTTCTGTCTGCTCCTTTCTACGCACTTCTGGAAGGCTTTTAATGCCCTGCACCACTACAGCATTTTTAGTTGTTTCTGTATGTTTTGAATGTTTTTTTTTTGTATTGTTTTATGGCTTTGTTGTAAAGCACTTTGAGTACCATTTGGGTATTGTAAAGGGCTATACAAATAAACTTGATTGATTGATTATCTGGCCTCATGTGGCCTCCTCCGTCCTTCTGTATCCTCTCATCCGATTATCACAGAGGGCTTTCAGAGCTCCTTTTTGATGGAGAACAGTGTTAGTTTCCATGGACAGCTGTGCTTCCGCTTGGACTACTTTGCATGTTGCCAGTCTGTGTTTTACTCTGTAGGCTGCCTCCCTCTGTCCTTCTCTCTCTGTGTTTTGCCCTCTCTCTTTCCCCCCCTTGCCCTCTTTTCTCTCTTTTTCCCCTTCTCTCCCTCTTGCCCTCTCTGGTTCTTCCCCCTAAAGGCAGTTTTTCCTTCCCTGTGTCTCCTAGTGCTGCTCTTGGTGGGAACTGTTGTTCTCTTAATAACTTCAGAGTCGGTTTGAACTGCTCTTCTCTCTCTCTCTCTTACCCTCTCTCTCTCTCTTTTCCCCCTCTCTCTCTTTATTGCCCTCTTTCTCGCCCCCTCTCTCTCTCTGGTTCTTCCCCCTAAAGGCAGTTGTTCCCTCCCTGTGTCTCCTAGTGCTGCTCTTGGTGGGAACTATTGTTCTTCTATAAATAACTCAGTCAGTCTGACCTGCTCTACTCTCTCTCTCTTTATTGCCCTCTCTCTCTCTCTCTCTCTCTCTTTCCCTTTCCCCTAACCGGCCGAGGCAGATGCCCCCCCCCCCACCCTGAGCCATGGTTCTCCTCGAGGTTTTTTCCTCCTAAAGGCAGTTGTTCCCTCCCTGTGTCTCCTAGTGCTGCTCTTGGTGGGAACTGTTGTTCTCTTAATAACTTAAGAGTTGGTTTGAACTGCTCTTTCTTTCTCTCTCTCTCACTCTTGCCCTCTCTCTCTTTTTCCCCCTCTCTGCCTCTTACCCTCTCTCTCTTTATCCACCTCACTCTCTTTATTGCCCTTTCTCTCTCTCTCGCCCCCCCTCTCTCTCTGGTTCTTCCCCCTAAAGGCAGTTTTTCCTTCCCTGTGTCTCCTAGTGCTGCTCTTGGTGGAACTGTTGTTCTTCTGGAAATAACTCAGTCAATCTGACCTGCTCTACTCTCTCTCTCTTTATTGCTCTCTCTCTCTCTCTCTCTCTCTCTATCTCTCTCTCTTTCCCCTAACCGACCGAGGCAGATGCCCCCCCCCCCATCCCTGAGCCATGGTTCTACTCCAGGTTTCTGTCCCCTAAAGGCAGTTTTTCCCTCCCTGTGTCTCCTAGTGCTGCTCTTGGTGGGAACTGTTGTTCTCTTAATATCTTCAGAGTCGGTTTGAACTGCTCTTTCTTTCTCTCTCTCTCTGTTTTGCCCTCTCTCTCTTTGCCCCTCTGTCTCCCTCTTGCTCTCTCTCTCTCTCTCTCTTTTTCCCTCTCTTACCCTCTCTCTCTCTTTTTTGCCCTCTCTCTCACGCCCTCCAACCTCTCTCTCTCTGGTTCTTCCCCCTAAAGGCAGTTGTTTCCTCCCTGTGTCTCCTAGTGCTGCTCTTGGTGGGAACTGTTATTCTTCTGTTAATAACTCAGTATGAGCTGCTCTGTTTGGAAAGCTGGGAGATTCCTGTTGTTGGGATTTGGCGCTTTATAAATCGAATTGAATTTAAAAGTATTTGCCAGAACAAACTCCAAACCTGTCCCTTGTTTCTTTTCCTGTCCAGAGAACGGCACCACCTACCAGGACATGCTGCTGGAGATGACCGGGCAGAAAACCGTCCCCAACGTCTTCATCAACAAAACGCACCTGGGCGGCTGCGACAAAACCATGCAGGTGAGGGCCGAACGCACGTTTGTGCACTTTACACGAACACCTGGAAATATGGGACCATCATCCAGAGTGGAGGTCTTCAACAGGGGGTCCGCGGCCCCTAGGGGGTCCGGAGGTACTCCAAGGGGGTCGCCAAAGTTTTGGTTGATTAGACTTTTATTTTAATCCCCCCCTGCAATTTTTGCCACAATGTAAATGTCTTTAAATCCACATGAACATGAGTCCAACAGACTGTAGTAAACAGATAAATGGAGGCAAAAATATGTCTTCCAGTCATCAACGCTCACATTCAGCCACACACAGGAGATCTATCTATCTATCTATCTATCTATCTATCTATCTATCTATCTATCTAT